CGCAGGCTGCCCGCCTCCACCTCCTTCCTGGCCAGCTGCTCAGCATACAGCAGCAGTGTGGGCTCAGTGGGCATTGCTCGCTGCAGGGCCTGGCTGATGACGTCACCTTCGCTCTCGAAGCCAGACTCACGCTCAATGTCAGTCATCTTGTCGCAGTTGTCAACGCAGCTGAAAGCAGCAGCTCGCAGCTTGTTTAGCTCCTGGTCCTTCTCATTCAGTAACGCCATGGTCCTCTCTCTCTGTTTGTGCAGCTCGGCCTCCATTCGTAGCAACTCATCACGGTGCTGCGCCTCCGCCCTTTCTACTTCCTGTCTGTGGATCTGCTGCAGTGCCACTGCCTGCTGCTGGCGCTCCTGCAGCTCCTGACGGTGTTGGGCTTCAGCCTCATCACTCTGGATCCGTAGGTTGATGTACTTCTCCTTGAGCTCTGACAGCTGGTCTCTCAGTTCCTCCAGCTCTTTGGCCTGGCAGCCATCTTTGGCATTCTTATTCTTCAGTACTACCTGTGCTCGCAGTTTGTAGCGCTCAAACTCGTCCTTCAGCTGCCGCAGCTCCTCCTGGTATACAAGCGCTGAGGCTCTGTCCCCACCCACCACTGCCTCAGGCTCTCCCAGCATCTGGATATTTTGATCTGGGTTTCTCTGAGCTGCCAGCAGTAGCAGCTTCTTCACCTTTTCCAGTTTCTCTTTCAGCATGCTGACATCCAGCAGTGACTCGTCTACACCGGGGTCGGAAGCTGACCTACTGGCAGCGGCAATGGCCAGAGTTTTATTCTCAGTGTCAAGCTGCATAATCCGGTCTCTAAGTCTCTGAGCAGTTTGCTGGTCTCGCTGCCTTGCCTTCTCGCAGGAACCCAACAGCTCTGACAGTTCAGAAACCCGTTGCTCCAGAGCTGCAACCCTGACCTCTGCAGCCTGAGCACGCTCACGAGCACGCTCTTCTGCCTCACATGCCTGAAATTATACAAACAGAGAGTTCAGACACACACTGAGGACTAAAACCTGCTGATGTCTGTAACCATATGGTCAACCATGTCTGCAGCAACAATTCCTGAACCTCTCTAAATGTGCTCTGGTAGCTGTAGTTCAGCATTTCAAGCCATTTAACAGAGTTAAAACACCAACACCTGCTGGACAACAGCAGTACTGCATCTGTTAGGTTGTGGCTCTTCTTTAATCAGTCTAGACTTGGGGTAAATCTCAATTCCCTTATTTGATTTTTACTCGCACCTCAATCGACCTGAAAGTTGTTCCACTCCGCCATCTTGAAGGATGTCCCAAAGCTCTTATTCTTGCTCCTCGATGCTTGGAGGTTACTTCCAGGCTGGACTACTGTAACTCTTTACTATCAGGATGTCCCAATAATTCCCTAAAAAGCCTGCAGTTAATCCAAAATGCTGCAGCCAGAGTACTGACAGGAACTAGCAAGAGAGATCATATCTCTCCCATATTAGCTTCTCTCCACTGGCTCCCTGTAAAATTCAGAATAGAATTTAAAATCCTTCTCCTAACATACAAAGCCCTTAATGACAAGGCTCCATCGTATCTTAAAGACCTCATAGAGCCTTATCATCCTAACAGAGCACTTCACTCTCAGAGTGCAGGTTTACTTGTGGTCCCTAGAGTCCACAAAAGCAGAATGGGAGGCAGAGCCTTTAGCTATCAAGCTCCTCTCCTATGGAACCAACTCCCAGTCTCAGTTCAGGAGGCGGACACCCTCTCTACCTTTAAGACTAGACTTAAGACTTTCCTTTTTGATAAAGCTTATAGCTAGGGCTGGATCAGGTGACCCTGAGCCTTCCCTTAGTTATGCTGCTATAGGCCTAAGCTGCTGGGGGGC